TAATGATCTGCTTGGCGTTACAGCATATGCTATTTCAAAAACCCAAAGGGGATTTTCAAAATAAGAAACCAAAATAAATTAAAAAATCCCACAGTACTCTGACATCACAAAGGCATGTCAAAAGCTTCATCAGTGGTTATTTGCAAAAATCTTTAAAAGCTTCAAAGCACTGCAGTGAGTTGAATTATTCACTGCCTCTGAACACAATTCTGATGTAAAGCCCTTTCTAGCTCTATGCCAGGCAAATCTAGAAATTCATTTCCTGGAACCCTCCTCGGCAGAACTGAACTGAGCTCAGTTGCCAAACAGTCATTTCCCGCTGGGGGAGACGAGTGAGGGCATTTTTATAGTGAGTTGACATTGCTTGTCACTGCAACTCCTTTTCTGCAAGTCCTCATACTTAGGGTGGAAGGTGAGACGTTAGATATTGCCCGTGCCATCAATAAATCAGACTATCGGCCAGTCTGTGCAGTGGAAAGAACACAGCAGGGAGTTTTTCTATTGAGGCTATAGCAGCAGGCCAGTAAGGTTCTACTCTGCAAGGACAAACCAGTCATAATCTTCCCTCTGCATCCCCACACACTGCTCCTTCCGTAGCCTCTTTTAAGCCCCTGTATCATTCTGTGTGCATATTTATGGAATAGGATTGGGAGATCGGAAAGGAACCTCTGAGAAGTGCTGTCTTTTTGTGACTATCCCCATCCTTCCAAAGAAGGTGAAAGATGGCACTTGTGCACACAGAGCAGAGCTAGGACATCTTCCCTGGAGGACCCCTTCAGAGATTCCTTAGTGGCATCACGTCTAACTATTTCCATTTTCAAGAAGTTCTTGAACACCAAGCAGATTCTCCCTCTTCCTTTGGAAAGCTGACAAAAACAAATCAGTAAGTAAGAAAATTAACTCCTTCCAGAAGGACAAAACTGAGTAAGGAAACATTTGAACAGAAGCTGTCGTACTGGTTGTCTGAAACGCTGCCCTTCTTGCACGTATTCGGTCTGCAGTTCTAGAGACTTTACCAAATAAATGAAGAGGAGGACAAAGAAGGAAACAAATTCCCAAAGCAGAGAGCTTCCAGAACTGCGTGCTCCTCCCGGCTGGGTGCACTGCTCCACCCCAGCAGCTGCAGCCAGGAATGGCTGTGGGGAGCAGCAGCTGCTGCCAGGCTGAAAGGAGGTTTGTGACCCACCAGAAAAATTCCTCCCCCCTCTCTCAAGCTCTCTGCACCTCCTCGCAGTTGCTAGCAGCAGTGTGCCCACTTACTCAGCGTTTTCCCTTACATAGCTTACACTAGAAAAGCAAAAGCAGCAGTGAAGGGCCAGGGCAGGAGTAACTACTCAAACACGGATGACTCCAGAGGGATTTGTCGCATTCTTCTCAGCTGCCAGGGTCCAGGAGCGCTCACGTTACGGCAGGAAGTTCACAAAGTTCTGCTGGGACGCATGGATTTTCCATCTTGCTTTCCTTGGGTGGGAAATATGTTGTTCCCTAAGAGCTACGCCAGTTACGAAAACTTCAGTCGTGCAAAGCAATACTGTCCTGTTTTATATAATGTGGGGCTCGAACAAACACCATAGGTGCGGGGTGGTACTGGGCATGAGAAGCTGGGGGCTCCATTTAAGTACGGCACAGCTGCAGAGCGTTGTGCGTGTATTAGTTTCAAAGTAAAACCCAGTCAGCAGATCAGGGAACCCAGCCCTTGTGTTAATGGCACAACTGTTCTGAAGCTTAATTTGCTCTTGTCCTGAAGCAAGAACAGAGCCAAAGAGAGTAAAAATAGCTAAACACGTTATTAGCACGATGACAATTATGACTAAGCTCATACCAGCTATCCCCACTCTCTTCCCACGCCCATCTCTATCCCGTTCTGAGCTCTCGACAGTAAAGGAGAAGGCACGCAACGGACCTGAGATCACTGCTCAGGTCAGACCGCCAGCTTGAGCACAGTTCTGCACACACAGGTAATGCATCATAACGTAACTCCCCACATTAAGGGTAACGGAAATTGAACATGGGCACAAGATGGTGCCCATGAACATGGGCACAAGATTCACTCACTGACATGAGCAGTAAAAAAAATCAGAAACTTTAGTGGACTCAGGCTGCCTTTCACCCCTGATCAGCAAGAGCACTCGACATTTGCTTAACTTTGAGCATGTACATATATTTACCAAAGACGATGGGAATAATCACATGCAAAGATAGCCAAGTGTTGCTGCAGGAGCTATAAAAGCACATAATTTTAGTGCCTTTTTTTTTTCAAATGCAGCTAGATGGTGCTGTACAGTTTCAAAATGTATTAATTAATTTTTGTTAATTACTTTGTTACGCAATTTTTTAAAGTTCTTATATTTAGCAGAAGAAGGTAAAAGAGTAAAAAGTTTAAATAAAGGAGGAAATATATTGTTATAAAGTGTCCTTCTCATTAATGTTTTTGTGATTCTACTCGTCAGACATCCATTTTCATTTTGTTCTCAATCTCTCTTTTACAAAAGCCTGCTACATGAGAGTATGTACATTCATCCTACATTTGGTCTTTCTCTCTGCACAAGGTGAAGTTACCAACATTCCAATGGTGTAACTGGAAAGAAATTTAACTCACATATAATTAGTAAATGGGAAGAAAAATACAATCATATTCTTGTCGTTAGAAGTCTGTATTAGTATAAAGACCCACATCAAACTGCATTTTCGGTATATGAAGAAAAAAAAGTACTTTCAATATAATTTGGTGAGCAATTGTAATAATGTCTATTATTTCTTTTTGAAAAGTGATGTTTTGGTAAAATGCAATTAAAAACTATTTGTTCTGAAATAAAAGCATGGAAAAAGAGCACCTTAAATTCTCAAACATTACAAACATTAAAGACCTTTTCTTCCATTAATTTTATTGAGATAGTATGTTTAAAAAAAGCCAAAACACAATATATTTAGCAAAACCAACATCTAAAGGTTGCAGAGAGAAAACCAAAAAGCTGGCCACTAATTTGATGTTTTCATGACTGCTGCCTCTAAAAGATGACAAATCCTTTGTGAGCACATCTCCCTCTGGTAAATCTGCCCTGATCATCCACATCTCTTTCAGATCTAAAGGTTTTAAAGATGTATGTGTCCCTTTCTTTGCTAACCACAACGTCTTTCAGAGCTCACTGAGATGCTCCAGTCTGTTTTCATCACAAACGTGTTGACTCTCAGTCGTTCTTCCCTAGACTTGGAAGAAAAAGTGCATCACTCCTCGCTTCCTTGCGGTTAGTCAATCCAAGACACATACTCTGCTACTCCTCCTCAGAGGCCATGTAAACGTGAGGATTTTTCTTAAGCTTCCTTGTGCGTTTTACACGACACTAACATTTCAAACACTGCAGCAACTTACGGTTCTCTCATAAAGCACCAGAAAAGTTCAGTCAATTGGCATCATGAACCCAGTAACAAAGATGCTTCTATCTGCTGCAAAGAAATGTCACACTGTATTTCTAAATAAAGTATAAAACCCGCTAGTCTAAAATAACCACGACATGGTACAATCCCAAAGGCAAAAGGTCTGAAGGCATGAAATGATAATTCCACAAAATTATTATTTCCACAGAGGATGGAAGTAAGGATGGGTGACCTGGGAGGAACAGAGATATTGTCCGAGCGCACAGGAATGAGGCTAGGAAAGCTAAAGCCCAGCTGGAATTGAGTCTGGCCAGGGCAGTCAAAGACGACAAGAAGGCCTTCTATAAGCACCAAGGTGAAAACAAGAAGGCTGGGGAAACGTGGAGCCACTGCTTTTCCTATGAGGAGAGGCTGAGAGCGCTGGGACTGTTCAGCCCGGCGAAGAGAAGGCTCAGAGGGATCTCATCAGTGTATACAAATTCCTGACGGGAGAGCACGAAGAAGATGGAGCTGGGTTCTTTCCTGGTGCCCAGGGACAGGGCCAGAGGCAACAGGCACACACTGACACACAGGAGGTTCCCTCTGAACATCCAGAAACACTTTTTCACTGTGAGGGTGACTGAGCACGGGCACAGGTTGCCCAGGGAGGGGGTGGGATCGCCATCCTATTCAGGAGCCCTCTGGACGTGGTCCTGGGCAACCAGCTCTGAGTGGCCCTGCTTGGGCAGGGGTTGGACCAGACGGCCTCCAGAGGTCCCTCCCAACCTCAACCAGTCTGTCATACTGTGACTTTGTGAAAGTTAACATTTTTAAAGGTACTTAGACTTGTAACTGCAATATTTACAAGGCCACCAATAATGGTGTTATTATTGATAAAACGTACTTCGTTCGCACTGTTTCTGAGAGAAATAGATTACTTATTTTCTCTAAGGAAGCTGATTAATATGGTGTGAAAAACATATCCTCACCAGAGGAGTTGTCTGTAACAGAAGAAACACAATTGGTAAAACATTTTATTTCCTTAAGGCAGTGTAAAGGAAGTTACATCTATTTTTTACAATATGAGTCATTATATAGAGATGAAACTTAAGAAATAGAACAATAAACAGAACATCCACAAAGAACTATCTCTGGAAAGTCTTCAAATCAGAGGTGTTCATGCAAGATGTGAATGTGATTTTATTTTAATTCAAAGGGAAAGGGTGCAAGTTACGGAGCTGAGATCAGAGACAAGAGCATCTCCATACGTTCTGCCTTTATCTTCATGAGCGTGAATGTGGTCTACTAAGCAAACCAAGTTAAACTGAGATTTACTCAGCGATAGTTGCTCTAGATTTATAAACAGATGCAGAACAGAATGTGGTTCCTACACTACTATTATAGCTGGTGAGAAAGACACCAGTCTGCAACTCCTGACAGTTGGCCATTTTATGTTCTGTTCAATGCTAGTTTAGAGAAAAAAAAACCCAAAATAATCTATTCATATTGGGTTTTTGGTTACCCTTACCTGAAACAATGGTTAATCTTGACATAAAGTAACAGAGCTACTAATTGTACCTGGTAAAAATTTAGACGCATTGAACTAAAGGCTCTTGAACAAAACAAAAGAGTACCCTCGGCGTTACCTGTCGCAGTAACTCCTCCTGACGCATCCTAATTCGCTCCCTCTCCATCTGGATTCTCTGGAGCCTCAGCTTCTGCTGCTGCTGTTGCTGCGAGGTCAGTGCGCTGGGCAGGCTCAGCAGTCCCGGCTGCGGAGTCTGGGGAGGATGAGACGGCTGCGACATGGCTGTGCTGGGGGTTATTTGGTGCTGGTGGTTCATGACTGTGGGAAAGAAAATAAGTCATGGCTGGTTAAGTAGGATTGTACTTTAAGATAACAGAGGGCCTAGGACACATGTTTACAGCGAGTACAGAGTTATTAGAATTACTGTATTTCAGATGACTGACATAACTACTCCATCTGGCAAGATCTGGTACTAGTAATTGCTTAATTGCTAAATGATTTTTAATATTTCATATGTGTATAAATGTCCTGGTTTCAGCTGGGACAGAGCGAGTTCTTTTTGGCAGCTGGAAGAGCTCTGTGTTTTGGTTTTAGCCTAGGATTCGTTATGAGAACGCTGGCAGCGCACTGACGTTTGCAGTTGGCACGGAGACCTCAAGGACTTTCCAGCTGCCGGGTTCCTTGCCAGTGTGCAGGAGCACAACAGGATGGGGGAAGCAGGGCCGGGACAGAGGGTCCACAGCTCCCTTTAGGATTTGAACTTAGACTCAGGACTGAGGGCGGAATTGGCCAATGAAGTATCCCATATCATGAGGCATCGTGCCCAGTACAAAATGAGGGCTGACTGGAAAGAAGGGCCTTTGCTCCTCCGGGGCTCTCACTCAGCTGCGATTGCGGTGCTGGGACCTAGCTGCTTCAGGATTGTTATTCCGGGACGGGACAGGCCTTCATCACTGGGTCTTGAGCAATTACATTGTGTGTCACTTGTTTGTATACATTATTATCATTATACATATAGATATATTCATATATTATTAGTAGTAGTATTAAACTGTTCTTATCTCAACCCACGGGTCTCCTTCCTTTTTTTCCCTTTAATTCCCACCCCCATCCCCTGGGGGATTGGGTTTAGGTGCCAGCCTAAACCATGACAATAAAACATGAATGCAGCAAGTATTTATATTCATCCTGGTATGTTCAGATATTTACCTAATGATATGTAGTAAATGACATGTAAGTTTTTTTAATTGAAAATTCCTCTGCAAACATGTGCCTATAATATACAGTAAGCTAGTAAAAATTTTTTACATCTTAGCATTTTCTTTACTGACAGATCTGAATTAATTATTGTAAGAATAATTACCAGCATCAATAAGGAGCACTGTGTGTTTTGGACCTCTACGAAGGAGATACACGCGTTTTTCAACGACGCACAGATGAGGGATGTTCCAGTTAAGGAGCCAACCTCGGAGGAGGTCCTGTTTGCTGGCAGGCTGTGGCCTTCCTGCATTCTCATGGGCGAGTCGCAAGCCCTGTGCACTCATCTATAAGTGAGGGTTAATATTATTCTCGTATCTCGCAGAAGTGTTTAAGCACTCCTTGCCTCACAGGCACTCAGTGTTACAGTCATGAAAAGCAGCCTGAGCACTGTTACTGAAGGGAAAAAGTGCATCTAATGAGACCCAGTGACAAGCTGGACTGCCAGAAGTTACTAAAGCAGCGCAATAAAAAGACACCAGATACTACCAGAAGCTACATCTTTCCATAATATCCTTAACATACTTTCACCTACTTTTTCAAAGGAGGTGAAATGCAAGGAAAAGGTAATTCCACTGAATCTGTACCACATTCATAAATAAAAAAGCAAAGTAGTGAGAATCACTGCTGATTTTTCTTGATATGTCTTTATCTCTTTTGAACAAACACTGCCTTTTTTTCCAACTCCATGGATGGCAGGTGAGAAAACAGACCTTTGGTAAGCAAACCTGATTCATACCCCTGTAAACCAGCTAAGCCCTTTAACTTGCAGCCAGAAGACTGCTGCTCAGACAGTTCGTGTTGCTTAGACCGTTCATGTTACTGACATCAACACAGTATTTTCTGGTTAAATTCAGAAACTGTAAATCAGAGCAGAATTCTCTGCTGGATGGGCATTTTTAGTCAGAGAATTGATATGAAAGAAATAGCAAGTCTTTGTGTAGCTCCACAGTCACTCTGGTAATCATGCCACAAAGCTAAAACAATTGGCACCTTCGCCTGCAGGTATCACTTGGCCATGGAAACAGAACCACCTCTTCTCTCTAGTAATAGAGAACCACCTCTTCTCCCTCTTAGTAATAGGCTTGGAAAAAACAAGAGGAAAATAAGACAGAAAGAGGAACCTGCATAGCCTCTGCTTGTACCTCCTTTTTATTTTTGAGTAAAACCTATCAGTTCCCAGCAATGCAACCCAGCACCTTTTGGGAACTGCAGAGCGAATAGTTCCTTCTTTTCTTCCCCACCTTCACATTTCCAGTAAAAAACACATACAGTAGCTAAAACCAGTCTGGATTACAAGCCATAGCCATGCATTGCTTTAAAAATTAATTGACGTTTTTGCAAGGATTCTTTCACTAATGAGGCAATAGCACAACTAATAAAGCTCTTATCTTTTAACACGAACACCCCAGATAATAAAATACTCTCTAGAAGAGATGCAGTATTTTTCTGGCCAAAGGACTGAGATTTGCATCTTCCTTTTTATCTTTCACTCATTGCTCTTAGCATATAGGAACTGAAATCTCAACTCAGTTCTACGCTCCTCAGACTCGAACACGTTTATGCTGTGTACATGTCTGATCTCGAAGGACACAGGAGAGCAACCACTGTTAGAAGTCTGCATTGAAAGAAGTGGGTTGATGATTTTACAGCCTGGATCAAATCCATGGTACCCATACAATGCAAAAGGCTGAAAATTCACTCTGCCAGTTCCAAGTGAAAATGTTTTTGAAAGGTTGCCTTTATGTCAGCCAGCTTTCTGTCAAATCAGAGTACTGTCCTGTCTCTCTTACTACCTGGAGTAAGGCAGGTACACAGGCATCAGGTCAGCAGAAACTTTGCCCTGCTTCATTTGACAGAAATATTTACATGTCCTCACATTAGATCTGAATCAATTTTTTCGATCTCGGCGACCCAGTATCGCCGGGGTCGAGCACGTAAAGCCTACGGAACCATCTGAGAGTGCAGCTGCATGGTATTTTAGCTTCAGCGGCAAATCCAGCCCAAGAAATAATCCAAGTTAAAAGCAGCCCTGCAGCAATATAACCTCTCCACGGGTTCAGTTTATGTGTGGTCCACAAACAGCTGTATCCACAAAAATGACATCACGCTTCCCCATGAAACCAGTGTTGCCTTTTATCACCTCTTTCACACCCAGCTGCTCATTCCTGCCCACATGCTGCCCCTTTACTGAGCTGGCACAAGCATTTTTGTGGCCACACGGCAAACTAAAAATTGCCTGGGGATAAAAAGAGGGTATTTTCTGGCTACATTAGTTCCCAGCAGAAGTAACTGAGTAGCCATGAAAATGCTTATGTGCAACCAATATAGGAGTCCAGGTGGGAAAAATAAGCTGGTTGCTGGAAAGACAGACCAAAGCCAGCACTGATCAGTAACTTTTCAGTGGTAAAAACCCAGAGAGATTTGTAAGCTGCAGTGCTGAGAGGGGAAAGGTAGGAATGAGAGCTGGGTGCAGAAATCAAACCACTTTCATAATGGGGAAACAATATATGGAACCACATTTTAAGATGCAGTGAATCTAGTCTTTCTTATTCACATGAAAATAAGTAAGAAATATGTTAAGTATAACTATATAAATTATATCAGTGTAAATCTGGTGTTAAATTGCCAGGACCATAAGCACTTAGGAATTTAACTCTTCTCATATGCATAAGCATGTGCTTAAATTTTTGGCATGTCAATGGTTGAATGAATAGAACAACCATGCTAAGAATCCAGGCTGACTGAAGGATTATCACAATATAGTAAGTTCTCCATAAGAAAATTGTTTTCATCTAAGCAGCACATGCAAATGATAGAAGCAGGCAAAGTTAAATAAAGATTAATAGCCTGTACAGTGTGTCTGGGGTACTCTCGGGGCTAGGGTGTCAGCTGTAGTACTATTTGCCATGGCTATTTGTTGCTTTTGCTATATAAAATACTCCCTTCTTGATCAGCTGATCTGTACCCATGTTGTATCACAGCTGAAACTATACATGCAAGAAGGCAAAGAACAAGACAATAAGTAAATGCTGAGGAATAACTTGTCCCTGAGCTATGGTCCCCAATAACTCTCCAAGTCACTTCTCATGGGGACAGACAGAATATTTTGGTCCAAGGAACTCTATGTCTTGCAGTAAATTACTTTTCTTTCAAGCAATACGATCCACTGTTACATACCATCAAAGAACTACGGGAAGCTCAGCACAATGAGTAAAGTAAGCATTCCCACTCCTTGACACAGGAGTAAAGAAATTACATCACACTGGATCTCCTACAAGTCAAGTATGCCATAAATATGTGATCATATTTCTAAGAAACAACAAAAATCCATTTTACTGCCAAAAAAAGTTATTTATGTCAGCTGGGTTTGATAAAGCCATAGCTACGGCGAAGCTTTACAGGTTTCAGTGCAGAAGGTGCACAGGAAGCAAAGCAGTAAGTAGGAGCCATCCTCAGCCCATTCCAGCACCGGCACCATTTGGCTCTGCTCCTCTTTCAATCAGTAGCTTTCTCCACAGAGGTTTGTAAGTCTGCATCTCTGGACACAGGTCCATAGAAAAATAGATCTGCTCAAAACTACCACTAATTGGAATGGCTTTTGAAGAGCCATCGATTTGGGTCATTTGAACCTGCTGACACCACATTTTTCTCCAGCATACACTGCTTCAAGAAAAAATGGGATTCAGGTAACTCTCCGTTCAGTTTGAATACCAGACACGTACTTTCATAGCAGCCCAAACTGAACAGACTCAGAAATATTAAGTATGTAGGAGTCATGCATCTGTGCTTTCAAACAAATAGATAGTTTTGTCAAGGTATCTGGATAGAGCATGTTTATGATAAAGTCTAACTTAAAATGGTGCATTAAATTGATATCGTGATATTTTTTTTTTTTTTAATATCATTCAAAACTAGTTCCTCTAGATCAAATCGCTCAAAGCCCCATCCAACCTGGCCTTGAACACTGCCAGGGATGGGGCAGCCACAGCTTCACTGGGCAACCTGTGCCAGTGCCTCACCACCCTCATTGTAAAAAATTCCTTATGTCTAATTGAAAT